AAAAAATACTTACATATCTATTTAAATATCTATCTACAACATTTCATTACTCTTGTTTTAAATATTTATTAAATGCACTGTTTTTTGATATTTGTTAAATGTATAGTACATACAAAAGTGCTTTTCAGTGTTCTTTATACTTATACATTTAATCAGATTTGAGGCTTTATAAACTATTTTTAAATTGTCTATCAATTTACATATACATACATATATATGGAGAGAGAGAGATACATTCACATTTATTGTATTGCTATTTCTCCCTTCAGATCTGTCATAGATACAAAAATCTGGAACAAAGTATTTGAAAACCAAATTTAACAGAACACTGAAAGGATTATACATCATCGCCTGGTGGTATCTATCCCCGGGTTGTGAAGATTGTTCAAAATAGGCAAATGAATAATTGTGTTGCATCACACTAATAGAATGGATAAAAATAACACAATAATCTCAATAGATTCAGAAAAAGCATTTCATGAAATTCAAAACCGTTTCATGATAAAAACTCTCAAAAAACTAGGTATAGAAGGAGTTTACCTCAATAAAATAAAGGCCATATACGAAAGGCCCACAGCCAACATCATACTCATTTCTAAATATTTTTTACACACTGATCAAATGAAAACAGAAGTTATTATTATTTTTTTAATGCAGCAACTTTCTCACAAGGACAGGTTCCTACTGATATATTTGTTTTAGTCTGAAATGAAAATGGCTTTTTGTTGTACTGCTCTGTATTCGGTAGTCTTTTCCAATCAAGTTGCCAATTTGAGTCCCTTTCTCCCTCNAAGGATAAATCATATGTATATTTCCTTTATTGTGAAATCACCCAGCTATTTTCATATGATTTAGCAATGAAAACTGACCAAGGGTTCAGAGAGGAGGCTTTGGGAAACCAGGGGAAGGGATATTATTGACTAAAATGATCCACACCACAACACTTAGCATTTCAGGAACGGGTCTCCTGGGTACGTAATTTTCAGCTACATGTAACTTTTGATTTACTATGTAATATTTTCATCCAGATAGAGCGTGGATTCAGGAGACTATACTAAAGAAGAAATAAAAGTCTACTTTTATTTATCGTTCTTGCTATTGATACAAGCATAAATGAGAGAAATATGAGTGAATATAAATACATATATCAAAGCAATGAAATGCAAAAGGTTAATTTTGTAATGGTGTCTAACCCAAATCTGTAATGGCATCAATTCACTTCATTTTTATAACTTACTAGAAATAGTATATTAATTGTTATTACTGTTATTGAGTACATATTTATGACAGGCAACATAATTATTGATTTACATTTATTAACTCGTTAGGTACTACAAAGTTAACATTCGGTAGGTGCTAGCATTACTGCCATGTGTAAAATGAAACAACTTTTTGAAAAAGAGAATATTGAGGAATCAGCTGTTTATTATATATTAACATAAATAAATATATTAATTTATTTTCACAGAAAATAAGAAAGTTCCAAGTACATGTCAAAATTTGGTATCTGACTAATCAGATGTCTCAAATGAGGATTTTCAAAAAAGTGAAAAATGTCCTATAAATCATATAAAGGTTAGCAGTGGCATTGAAAGGAATGACAGATGCCAAATATCAAATAATGTATCAAAAAGAAAGTCATATAATTAAAATAAAGTTCAAATAGAGCCTTACTCAATTAAATATGAAAAAAGATGTGATTTCAGGAGCAGAAAANAGGATTTTCAAAAAAGTGAAAAATGTCCTATAAATCATATAAAGGTTAGCAGTGGCATTGAAAGGAATGACAGATGCCAAATATCAAATAATGTATCAAAAAGAAAGTCATATAATTAAAATAAAGTTCAAATAGAGCCTTACTCAATTAAATATGAAAAAAGATGTGATTTCAGGAGCAGAAAACAATGTCCTTGTGATGAGAATATTGGCAGACTGAGAATTTCCAACCAGCCCTAGCAAGACCTTATCCCTGATGGCTGCTCCTCTTTCTAAAACCATAGTGACAATTCAGAGGCTGTTAGAAAGCAGCCCGATCTTGCTGTTCCTGCATACTGTCATGCAGCTATTGAAATCTATTTCCACATACCTTCCAAGAATTTGAACAGAAAATAATTCTCAAGCAGGTAAACACTGATTGACCTTCTCCAATCTATTCGATTAAATGTATAAGCTACTTGCTTCCTGCAAAACACTCGTCTAAGAGCTGACCTCGCTTCTCATCTGCAATATCTTAATAACGGCTTAAACTAAGGATTTTCAATTAGTTGTTAATCCTTCCATACAATACAAAATGCATTTAGTTTCCATTTTTATGAGGAATGACAGATGCCAAATATCAAATAATGTATCAAAAAGAAAGTCATATAATTAAAATAGAGTTCAAATAGAGCCTTACTCAATTAAATATGAAAAAAGATGTGATTTCAGGAGCAGAAAACAATGTCCTTGTGATGAGAATATTGGCAGACTGAGAATTTCCAACCAGCCCTAGCAAGACCTTATCCTTGATGGCTGCTCCTCTTTCTAAAACCATATTGACAATTCAAAGGCTGTTAGAAAGCAGCCCGATCTTGCTGTTCCTGCATACTGTCATGCAGCTATTGAAATCTATTTCCACATACCTTCCAAGAATTTGAACAGAAGATAATTCTCAAGCAGGTAAACACTGATTGACCTTCTCCAATCTATTCGATTAAATGTATAAGCTACTTGCTTCCTGCAAAACACTCGTCAAAGAGCTGACCTCGCTTCTCATCTGCAATATCTTAATAACGGCTTAAACTAATGATTTTCAATTAGTTGTTAATCCTTCCATACAATACAAAATGCATTTAGTTTCCATTTTTATTATATATAAAATAACAGTAGAAATAATTTTAAAAGCCATCTGCAAACTGAGAGTGTAAATGCCAAATAACTGGCCACCAAAAAATGAATAATAATATATTGGGTACTAACAACAGTAAACATCACCACCACCACCAAAAAAAAAAAAAAAAAAAAAAAAAAGAAAGAAATAAAAGGAGTTAGGGAATTGATTAATTTTTAAAAAATTAAAGTTATTAAAAGTTAACCTCATTTTAATAAAAATTTGAAAATATAAGGTCATAATATTGATGCTAAAATTAAAAAAGGTATTAGTTTCTTATTTTATTCATCTGTAAAATAATATTGATAAATGCAAAAGTAGACATAAAATGCACATTTTCCCACTATATGGTGGAAATTTTAAGTAAATATGTGTGTTCTTTTCAACATTCCTGACTTTTTACTAAAACTTTAGTGTTAAAGTCTGCATACTTGTTTGTACCAGAAATGCTGATTTAGGACACATTTATGGACACAAGAGTTTTAGGCTTATGTTAGTTATTTATTGCTGCTGTAACAAATTATCAAAAACTCCAAGGCTTAAAATACCACAACTTTGTTATTTTTCAGTGCTATAATTGAGAGTTCCAATACAAGTCCCACTGGGCTAAAATCCTCAGGCTGCCATTAGGGCTATATTCCTTTCTAGAGTCTCGAGTGGAACATCTGTTTCCTTGCATTTCTCATCTCTAGAGGCTGTCCACATTCTCTGGATCACGTCCATCTTCCATCTTCAACGTCAGCATTGAAAGACCGTCTAGAGATGCTCCCATAGACATACGCCACTCTGACCACAGCTTAGACAGTTCCTTTAGCCCATGTCATTAGTTTGTGCCAACTTGAATTATCCAGAATAATCTGCCTATATCAGGCTCTTTAATTTACTCACATCTGCAAAGTCTTTTTTGCCAGACAAGGTGACGTATCCATGGGTTCCAAGAATTAGGACAAGAATGTCATGGGCATCTTTCATAGGCGATTAGAAGCCTGCCATTGTGCTTCTGAAGCCTGATTTACAGGGAGCACACTCTAAGTAACAAATATCCAACTCTTAAAGTTTCTGTCATAAATCACCGTTGACTAATTAACAGGAATTGTGAACCTTATTCTAGCATTTTTAAATAAGATACATATTTTATTTAAATAAAAAATGTTGAAGGATATATTCTAGATTACAAAGAACTCATGTAATTGTTAAAAATAATTAAATTCAGCCTTTTTAGATACTAGGTCTATTGTTTCCCCCATAAAACTTATACTGGCTTAGTTTCCATAGAATCTTCCACACAGCTGCCTTGATTTCTTTGTTCCTTAGGCTGTATACTATGGGGTTCATAGATGGAGGCAACACAGAATACAATACAGACACCAAAAAATCCACAAGCTGTGGGGAATCGGGGACTGGCTTCAGGTAGGCAATGGCGCCTGTCATAATGAATGTGATCACAACTATGAGATGTGGCACACAGGTGGAGAAGGCTTTTGACCGCCCTTGTCCAGATGGAAACCTCAGAACTGTATTGAAAATGTAAATATATGAAAATCCAATGGACACTAAACAAAAAATAGCATAAATGACTCCAATTGCCACACTAACATCAATGGTAATATGCCTGTTCTCAGAACTGTATTGAAAATGTAAATATATGAAAATCCAATGGACAGTAAACAAAAAATAGCATAAATGACTCCAATTGCCACACTAACATCAATGGTAATATGCCTGTTGGTGCAAGAAATCTTCAGGAGAGAGGGCACATCACAGAAAAACTGTGGGAGTTTTCTGGAACCACAGAAAGGTAAAGAAAAAGTTCCTGCTGAGTATAAGATGCCAAAGATACTCCCAAGGAGCCAAGAGACAGCTACCATCTGCACACAGACTCCCCTGTTCATGGTGACATCATAGTGCAGTGGGTGACAGATGGCCACATAGCGGTCATAGGACATGGCCGTGAGGACAAAAAGCTCAGACCCAGCAAAGTGAATCACTAACAAGACCTGTAGCACACATCCTGCAAAAGAAATGACGCTTCTATGTGATAAAGAGTTCAGAATAAGTTTAGGAACTGTAATTGAAATAAGGCAAACATCAAGAAATGATAAGTTCTTCAGGAAGAAGTACATGGGGGTGTGAAGACACTGGTCCATGGTGACAAGGACAATAATGAGAAGATTC